GATTCGCTCTAATTTAATACATTCATTTAGGAGTTCACCTAATCTTTCCCCTTCCATTTTCTTTCATACACATCCATCAAAAATCAAGACCAGGGGTGGCTTGTTGGCTCAGATGGTTAGAGTGCAGTGCTCATAACACCAAGGTTGCCAGTTCGATCCCCACATGGGCCACTGAGTTGCGCCCTCCACAACTAAATTGAAACAACTACTTCACTTGGAGCTGATGGGTCTTGGCTGATGGGTCCTGGGAAAACACTGTTTTGCAGTAAAAAAATTTTTTAAAAACTAAAAAAAAGCTAATTAAAAAAGAAATAAAGACCAGTTGCACTGCCCAAATATTCATCATGTGCTGAGTACTTAACTTTACAGCTCTCTGATGAGCTAGCCCAGTTCCTGCCCAGGAACACTATTTCCACCTGCTGGCACAAAATACAGCCATTTTTACAGTGGAATTTCTACTATTAATGTGGCTTCCAGTCACAGAGAATAAACTACTTATCACTTACAAAATCCATTAAGTTCCCAGATTTATCTCCATATTGTTGAGTCACCAGAAAATATAATTTGTAAACTACATCCCTCCTACTCATTTCTCCCACTGCCTACTTATTTTTCCCTTGTCTTTTTACTAACATTTAACATAAAACTAGTACTATATGAAATGCCTTTATTTGCTGCAAAAATTATGATGGTTCAATGTTACTTAACGATTCTTGGAACAAGTATTTATCAGATCCAGAACAAAGAAAATGTATATCACTTTTTATGGATTTCTATATCTACTTTATGTGGCTCGGCAACCATGAGGCCAAATATTTCCTTAGCATCTATTTTCTAATGTAATAATTCTATCCTTACTCATTGTTTGAAAAAATTATTGGATTTGTCATTTTACTCTTTTTTTTTCATGGTTTTATAATATCTGTATTTCTTTACAGAAGTAAATTTATATATTTATTGGATGCAGTTAGGACACAAGTATTTTTAATCCAATAAATTGACCAGATGTCCCATTTTACTAGACTAGTTTCTCTTTAAATGAACAATAGTGAGTAGTAGGGCAGATACTGTGGGAAAAGTCATAGAAAGACAGACCCCATTATGGCAAAGGAAAACTTTTAAGTGGTCAAAAAACAAATGTGCAATGCCAAAAAGTTTGCTTCATGAAATTAATCTGGAATTTCAAGGTGAAATACTCTGAATTCATTAGCCAGCCTACCCGCTAACTTTGTACAATGGATCCCAGTGAATATAGTAACTATTTCCTGAACCAAAAACTGGGACAAGTGGCATGTAAAAGACTGCTTGATCACTTATCTGTGTTAAGAAGCAGCTTTGGAGTTATAATTTAGAATTTCTGGAATATATTTATTGTTTTAGGAATGAGAGGAAAGAATCTTTGAAATTAACACTGTATTGAAAAATCTTGGTGGTTTGGTTGCCATACTTATGAAGGACCTCTCCAGTGACATAGGGGGAAGGAAGAAATAAAGAAAAGAGAGGCTTATGCTGGGTGCCCTAGCTGTTCCTCCTATAAGAAGCAGTTCATACCATGTTATTCTTAGCTCATACCTGTCCCTCTGCATCTTTGATTTTCGTTTCCAAGATAAGTTTGGCAGCTTGCTGTTCCTTGTTCAAGTGTTGGAGCCCCTCATAGGTCGTTTTGTGTTCTGCGGAGAGTCTGGCTATGCTGGCGTCACATCTGCCCAGGCAAATCACAAAGTTAATTCGCATTAAAGCTTAAAAACAAGCACTAAGGCTTCCTTATATAATATAAAATGCATGACCCCC